AAGAGACCTTCCATAAATTCAACCCAGCTTTCCAAATGATACTTAAGCTCCCTTTATAACAAAGGCTACCCACATTTCTTACAGGTCAGACATAGAGGTTTCTTTCTTAGTCCCTTTTTAAAATGCATATATACTGAAAGGTGGTCATCATTACTAGGCCCATTTCTCAAATGGTCTTACACAAACTTTTCCCAAGCCATCAACCTCATCAGAGGTCATACCTGCCTTAAAGCAGTTAAACTCATGTATTCCTTTTTCAGTCAACCAAATGGCATTCTTACCTGTGTTTTAACATTGTTGTTTGAAATTACATTTTCAACAGAATTGTGGCACAGATTGCAGTTATACTTTACAACTTTTTTCTTTTTGCAGCGAAAATGTGATCAGTATTGGCCAACGGAGAATAGTGAGGAGTATGGAAACATTATTGTCACGCTGAAGAGCACAAAAGTACATGCCTGCTATACTGTTCGTCGGTTCGCAGTCAGAAATACAAAAATGAAAAAGGTATGGAAGGAATTGGGTAGGCTGCCAGGGCATCTCCTTTTTATACTTGTATGAAAGTTACTGACAACCAAAGCCAAATCTCATAACCAACTTGGTTTTCAAAAAGTATTTTTAAAACATTTTTCACGACTGTTTTGATTGACATCAGTGTATGCTGTGAAAGGTACTGGCAAAGCATGTAATAGAATTTAACTGGCCTGATTGCGCTCTTTACTCTCTATGTGAACAGGCTTCATTTTTTAAAAATCATCCTCTTAGATTTTTGTAATACTCAGCAAATATGGCAGCATCTGTTTGATTTAGCTTTTTAATTCCGATTTTCTGACACTTTTAAAGCATTGTTTCCCAAAGTGTGTTCCAAGGAATACTTGTGCTGTAAGATTCTTGTAAAAGTCAGATTCTGCTGTTCACTAAGAATGGAAAATGAGTGCTACATAATATATATCCCCCTGCCATTTCGGAAATTTACAGTGAACTTAAGTGACCAAAGCACTGGTGTTAAAAATAAAACCCTTTTCTACAGAACTACTAATACCCTGAGCATCACACTTGTGGAAATATTGTTTTCAGGTTATCTCAGTTTCTTTTTCAAAATCCACTGTCACAACAAGAATCCTAGATCAATCATCACAGGAGTACAGCAATCCCCCCTTAATTGTGTAAGGTATGTTTCAAGACCCCCAGTGATGCCTGAAACCTCAGATAGTACTGAAGCCTATTTATACAATGTCTTTTCCATATGGTGTCTTTTCCTATACATCCATACCTATGATAAAATTTATAAATTAGGCACAGTAAAAGATTAATAATAAGAAATAGAACAATAATATTCTGTAATAAGTTATATAAATATATACACTTTCTCTTAAAATACTGTAATATTTTTGGACTGTGGTTGACCTCAAGAATGTGAAACTGCAGATACGGAAAAACTACTGTATTAAGAACTGTAAATAGATGCTCATTAAAAAATGTAGTTCTTCCACAGAACTTAGGGATGGCAGTTGTTTGCAGCAATGGGATAATTTTGTTTTCTTGGTGTCTTGGACATTTTGGAAAATGTGGTAAAACTGTACCCTCCTTGCCCCATTTACATTCACATTTACTCACATTTTTATATAAAATTCAGGGGCTCCAAAGCCCATCTGTGATCCCAGGTTAACACTCCCTTCAATGTATGTTTATTTCCCAAAATGGAAGAAATAACATGAATATCAGTAGTGTAGCACTACATCTGTGTTCTCTGTTATAAAATAGACCTGCTGGCTGGCTCAAGATAATCAATAACCAGCATAAAACTTAAAAATCCCAACTAATGGGAATCTTTCAGGTATTTAAACAGGGCCCACCTACTCTTGTTTTAGAAATAGCTTAAGTCAGAGGAAGAAGTCAAGTAGGAACTTTAGGTGTTTTACATACAGGAAACAGTAGAAAAATGAGTTAACAAAGAATTAAAGCTATCATGGGCCTATGTATAATAGCACAGGACCAGACACTCTTCAAGCTTCAATGTTGATTAATGACCCTGAGTCATCTAAAAAAATTTAGAAATTATTGAGGTATTGATAATAAGAAAGCATATAGCATGTCATCGATTTGGGGGAAATTTTTCATCTAAAGTACTTAAAATTTATGTAAAAAGTTCAGTCACTTAAGAGAGAAAACTCTGAAAAAGTCATTTATGAAAGTGACAGATAAATGAGACATTGCCTCTGAGACATTGCCTCTGACTCTAAAGACAGAAGTATTCGACACTTAGAATCTTCCCATCACTTCCTGGATAGTTAATAGCAGCAACCAGCACTCTGGCTCCTGAAGGTCCAGCCTGGACAGTGGAGAGGGAATGGGAATCATAGCCCACAGAGAAGTGAAAGCAAAGTACTAAGATCTGGACTTGGGGCAGAAAGTCAGGAAATGGAGGACTTGCAAGAAGAATACAAGTGCTTTAGATAGTTCTAAATCCAAAAAAAGTAATACTAAATAATAAATGTTCGTTCTTAGTATAGTCTTAGTCTTCTCTTCTAGTGATAGTGATACTTCAAATACAGCTTGGTAATGTCTCCATTTAATGGCATGAAAGTTGGCTACAAGAGGAAATAACCTAGCCTGGGAAAAGTGATGAGGGTGAATAAGATCAGTGGTCATGTGTCCTGATAGCCTTATATTACTTTTTCCAGAATGTCCACCCTTCACCTTAAAGACATCTTTCTTCACCTTTCTCACAGGGTCAGAAGGGAAATCCCAAGGGTCGTCAGAATGAAAGGATAGTGATCCAGTATCACTATACACAGTGGCCTGACATGGGAGTTCCCGAGTATGCTCTTCCAGTACTGACTTTCGTGAGGAGATCCTCAGCAGCTCGGATGCCAGAAATGGGCCCTGTGTTGGTGCACTGCAGGTAGGGCCTGGGATTCAATCTGTGAAGTAGGTGGGGCACGGGACTTAAGACTCAGTGATCTTGGACCACAATGACTACTACTGCTTTAACTTAGAAGCTGAATCTTCCACTAGAAACTGGGATGGGTAAGACTTGCAATAGTTTTAAAGAGGCTCTATTCCTATAACATTAAGAACTCATCTGCTGCTTCTGTGACTTTTAAAAAATTAGATCAATCTCTAGTTTTTTATAAAGTTATCTTATTAATAATATCAGCCAGGCGTGGAGGCCAACAGCTATAATCCCAGCACTTTGGGAAGCTGAGTTGGGAGGATTGCTTGAGACCAGCCTGGGCAACAAAGTGAGACCTCTTTTCTACAAAAAAAATTTTTTTTAAATTAGCTGGCATGGTGGCACATGCCTGTAGTCCCAGCTACATGGGAGATTGAGACAGAAGAATCCCTTGAGCCCAGTAGGTCAAGGCTGCAGTAAGCTGTGTTTGCACCACTGCACTCTAGCCTGGGTGATAGAGCAAGACCCTGACTCAAAAAAAAAAAAAATCCCCATGGTTGATAGGAAAATTGTAGGCTTATCCTAATAAATAAGAATCTGGTATTAAACACAAGGTAAGAACTTTCCACACTAGAGATTGTGTTTTTGTAAATGGCTTTTCTGAAAAGTTCTTCTAAATAACATTTATCGTATGTATGAAAAGATTTCATTTTTAAATTTTTAGTTTATAAGTTCCATATAAAATACCTTTTCAAAAGCACTGGGAAATGCTTGTATAAAGCTTGTTTTCTGTCAACTACACTAAATGACTAGTTGGTTATTTAAAAATGCTTTTATTGTTTGATTTGCAAATGCATTCTTGCCCCTCTTTTCGCACCCCCCCCCGCACTTTGGTACTCAAACAAATGTGGCCTGTTTGTGATTTATGTTGCAAATGCTAAGTGAATAACCTACATCAACTTTACTAGGTTATCTAACTGGGGTTTAGGCTGGGCGCAGTGGCTTATGCCTGTAATCCCAGCACTTTGGGAGGCCAAAGCAGGCAGATCACCCGAGGTCAGGAGTTCGAGAGCAGCCTGGCCAACATGGTGAAACCTTGTCTTTACTAAAAATACAAAAATTCACTGGGTGTAAAGTTGGACACCTATAATTTCAGCTGTTCGGGAGACTGAGGCACAAGAATTGCTTGAACTGGGAGGCAGAGGTTGCAGCAAAACAAGATTGCACCACTGCATTCCAGCCTGGGCAACAGAGTGAGACTCTGTCTCAAAAAAATAATAATAAAATAAATGGGATTTAGATGTAATTTTTTGAATCAAAGTTAACAGTATGATAAAACAAAAGTGTCAGTTGAGTGTCCTCATTTCTTACAGTGCTGGTGTGGGCAGGACAGGCACCTATATTGTAATAGACAGCATGCTGCAACAGATAAAAGACAAAAGCACAGTTAATGTCCTGGGATTCCTGAAGCATATCAGGACACAGCGTAACTACCTCGTCCAAACTGAGGTAAGGAGCAGTTGCCAGTGTCCTCATGAGATTGTGGCACACGCTTCAACTGAAAGGTAAATGATAGTGAAGAGACAGATTCATTCTTTTAGGGCTTGCGGGAATTTACAGGTTTGTAGTAGTAGATATTCTGACCATGATACTGTTTTGTGGATCACAGTTTTACATTTCTGTATGGATCTTAATATTTGGATTCCTAAATAACTACACCAGCACTTATAAAGCAGATACAGTTGTTTCGAGAGCCGCGTTAGATGATAGTGGGAGTTAAACATGTTGTCTGGCCTGAGAAACACATAGGAGAGGATGGTTCTAAAACCCATCATTGAAAACGATTTCTTGATTGCTTATTGAACAGTACAGAATACTGTGATCCAGGCACAGTATAGAATATGGAGCTAAACTTAACACAGTCTCTACCCTAAAATAAGTTAGGAGTGATAAGCAAGTTGAGTATTGGAACAAATCACCTAGCTCTAAGTGCCTGAAGGAATTCACTGGGAGGTCCCTGTCAGGGGCAGAATTAAACTAAGGTAGACTTCATGAATGAGTGGCTAACCCTTAACACTCCCTGAGTGACTACCATATATTGTACCTCTTAGGAGCAGTACATTTTCATCCATGATGCCTTGTTGGAAGCCATTCTTGGAAAGGAGACTGAAGTATCTTCAAGTCAGCTGCACAGCTATGTTAACAGCATCCTTATACCAGGAGTAGGAGGAAAGACACGACTGGAAAAGCAATTCAAGGTAGTGCTTTGAATAAGTTTTTTTTGGCATAAAGCCAAAAAAGTGTTTAAATGCCTTGAGTTTGGAGGTTATATCTTCTTTGCACTAATGTCTACATGTCTGCAGTGAAGTAGATTTGTACTCCTTGTATGCCTGAAATGTAATGAAAAAGAAAATACAGTTTTGACCTATGTATGAATCATTGGTATTCAAGTAGATAGTACAGTGTTGTATTTTTTTTCTGAGCAATTTATGACTTTATCTGAATGTAAACATCAGCCCCTCACCATAATGACACAGTACTTTAAAGTCACTCGTTCATTCCAAAAAATATCCTATATCTTTTCTGAACTTATCTATCTTACCTTAATTATTAAGAATCATTACTTGGCTGGGCGCAGTGGCTCATGCCTGTAATCCCAGCACTTTGGGAGGCCGAGGTGGGCGGATCATGAGGTTAAGAGATCTAGACCATCCTGGCCAACATGGTGAAACCCATCTCTACTAAAAAATACAAAAAATTAGCTGGGCATGGTGGGGCTTGCCTGTATTCCCAGCTACTCAGGAGGCTGAGGCAGGAGAATCACTTGAACCCAGGAGGTGGAGGTGGAGGCAGCAGTGAGCCGAGATCGCACCACTGCACTCCAGCCTGGTGACAGAGAAAGAATATCTCAAAAAAAAAAAAAAAAGAATGATTACCTGTAGATATATTGTCCTAAAAATATGCCTATTTCAAAAACTAATCCAAAAGATAATTTAGAAATTAAAAAAGAATTACCTTTGGTAACTTTTCCTAAATGGTTTTGATTGTACCTCTTTTCTTTGATGGGAACATGAAGAAGCTTAAAAGCAGTTAAAAGGCCGGGCGAGGTGGCTCGCACCTGTAATACGAGCACTTTGGGAGGCCAAGGCTGGTGGATCATGAGGTCAGGAGATGGAGACCATCCTGGCTATCACAGTGAAACCCCACCTCTACTTAAAAAAAAAAAACACTAGCCAGGCTTGGTGGCAGGACTGTAGTCCCAGTTACTTGGGAGGCTGAGGCAGGAGAATTGCTTGAACCCAGGAGGTGAAGGTTGCAGTGAGCCGAGATCACGCCACTGTACTCCAGCCTGGGCAACAGAGCTGAGATTCTGTCTCAGAAAAAAAAAAAAAAAAAAGGCAGTTAAGGTTTATGTGGATTGGCTAAAGTGAAGGTGAAAAAGAGAGATTATAAGTACTATTAAAATAATTAAGACGGTCATCTGATAATACATCAAAATTGCTTTTAACGTGCACATACTGCCTTTCTCTCCAGTTACCAAGCACTTTCCTATTTGTCTTTTAAATTCTATTTTGCACATTGTTCTATATGTAAATAGTTTCTCCCTTTGTATCAAGATTCAAAGAATGAGATGACTCTACAGTATTAGTTTTCATGGTAAAACTTTCCATTGACTCTGAAACTTTGATTTGAATCTCAGCTGAACAGGTGAGACTGCCAAGCAAATTATACCAAGTGATAGGAAATGAAAAATAGTTTACTTTCACTGAGTTCAATCATAAAAGTCCTTTTAGGGCCGGGCGCGGTGGCTCACTCCTGTAATCCCAGCACTTTGGGAGGCCGAGGCGGGTGGATCACGAGGTCAAGAGATCGAGACCATCCCGGTCAACATGGTGAAACCCTGTCTCTACTAAAAATACAAAAAATTAGCTGGGCATGGTGGCGTGTGCCTGTAATCCCAGCTACTCGGGAGGCTGAGGCAGGAGAATTGCCTGAGCCCAGGAGGCGGAGATTGCGGTGAGCCAAGATCGTGCCATTGCACTCCAGCCTGGGTAAGAAGAGCGAAACTCTGTCTCAAAAAAAAAAAATTAAAATTAAAAAAAAAAAAGTCCTTTTAAATTTTTAGGTCATTTAAAATTTTGATTACCATAAAACTATGGGGTAATTAATAATGAGGACACAATGTATCATTTTAAATGTTTAACATGAGTTCTTATAAAATATTAAGTACCAACATTTCTTAAATTCTGCCTTTTTCATTTCTGTAATATTTGTTTATACATACTTTAAAAATTAATGGAAGAAATGTGACACAGGCACTAACCATTTTAGAGCTCAAGACGAAGAAAAAAACAAGAATCAGAAACTTGAAAATTATATCCAGGGACCATGAGTTTTACTAAAGCATCTGGAGAAGAACGCTGGTCTCATATATTCCATTAATACTGACGCCAGATGCCCCCCCAAAATAGGATTGACAAAATGGTTCACCCAATCTACATTAACAGGAATAATAACCAAACTATTAGGCCTGTTTCTTATAACAGCCTCAGATCAAGGTTAGTTCAACAGAAATGTACTGAGAACTAATTAAGTGTTCCTTTATCTTCAAGAAACTTGATATTAGCTTATAATAAATAACATTAAACCATCTTTTTTAATGTAGACTTACTTGGGTCTTTTGTGCAATGAGGAATCCAGAAAAAAAATTCATAACAGCAATGACATCACTGTAACAGAAAAATCCACATAGTTCTATAAATATGTATTGCACATGGTACCTGTTTAGGGCCTGATAGTAGAAATAAGAAAGATGCAATCAAAATTACTGAGAGAAGTACCCCTAGGGAAGCCCGAGTGTTCTTTGGGTGTAGTAGATTACACCTGTAATCTTAGCTCTTATAATCCCAGCCCCTGTCATCCCAGAGCAGCCTGGGCAACATAGGAAGACCCCAATTCTATAAACAATTTTAAAAATTAGCTGGTTGTGGTGACAGCACACCTGTGGTCCTAGCTACTCAGGAGGCTGAGGTGGGAGGAACACACTTTGAGTGAGCTACAGTCGTGCCACTGCACTCCAGCCTGGGCAAGCAAGGAAGACCCTGTGTCTTCAAAGGTTCTTTGGGGCACAAAAATGGTCTTAAACATTTATCAGTAATCTAATGATTGGGATTTTTGCCAAAGTGTCAAGCAGATGCTATTAGTTTTATCTCTGAATGAACACTAAAATGTTGCTTTCTTTTTCAGCTGGTCACACAATGTAATGCAAAATATGTGGAATGTTTTAGTGCTCAGAAAGAGTGTAACAAAGAAAAGAACAGAAACTCTTCAGTTGTGCCATGTAAGACCTTAAAATCAGTTAGTGATCTTTTAAACTGGATTGTATGTATTAAGTACAGAGGCAACTACTACTCTGATGGTATTGATAGCACCCTTCAATTGTACTGTACGTGGCTGTGTGGTAGAAGGTTTTGAAAATGTCCTTTTAGTAACCTCATTAATATATGACTCTACACCAGCCTCTTACCTGGTACTACCGAAAGGGAAAATGTTATGCTCATTCAACTAAGGAAGTTTGATGAAACTGGGAGAGGTGGCTGTCAGAGTCAGCAAGTTGCTTCATCTATCTGATGTAGAATATAGCTTCATTTCACCTTGGAATGCAAGAATTGGGTTACTTCTAACATATTATAACATAAAACAATAATAAAGCTGTTACAGCTGTGGCATTAACATTCCTTTAAAACTTAGAATCTTGGATTAATCTTACAACTGGAACTATATTATTCAGTTACTGTGGCTGTGGAGATCAAAGTGCTGTTGATTGGTGGTGACCTTTGTGTAAATAACTCAGGACATAGCAGAGGATACTGTCTGTGTGCTGTAGACATATACATAGGTGATCATTGGGGAGATTTATCTCTAATGAAAAAGACCACCCTTTTCTAAGCCCATCATGAACAGAAAGAGATGGAGAAGGGGTTGGGGGTCAAAGTACATGTTGGTATAATTGTAGGAATAAGAAACTAGAGTCAAAAGTTATCTGAAACCCTCTGTTGTGTCCATATAGAGTATTCTGTTATTGATCTTCTGTAAAATCTCTCTCCCACAGTAAACCTGTATTCCTACAATGCCTGTGTCCTTCCGTGTATGTGCAGCAAAATTTCATTTTACATTCTGCCTCAGCTGATAACACTTTAGCTTGTTTAAAAATATAGATAAGTCTTAGAAAGGGAAGCCAGGAGGATATGTTATTCATCAAGCAAATCTCAGAAAGAGCTGTAGGTTCTGTGTGTATAATAAGGCAAATGTGGTGTTTTTGTTTTTTCCATATGATAGCTGAGCGTGCTCGAGTGGGTCTTGCACCATTGCCTGGAATGAAAGGAACAGATTACATAAATGCTTCTTATATCATGGTGAGAGTCAACAGTTAATTATAAATAAAGTCAATTAAACTGAAAGGTGTTAAAGAGCAGATACCACCTGTGTGACTGATTTCATTTTTGAAATAATTTCTCAGTGTGTAATATGGAAAGTGTAGAGATTTCTGTATCTTAGAACTTCCAGCAAAAGAAACCTAATCAGTGGGGGTACAAAAATGCTTAAATTAAGCAAAATGCTTCTTAAGGAATCAATTTTATTGTTAATTTCATACATCTAGTCTTTGAATAACTGTTGAAATTTCTGTTAAGTGAAAACAGCAGGGGTAACTAGAAGCGAACTGCACATGGAGAGAAAATTGTCTGTACAATGCTAGCCGAAGTACATCTAAAAATTAGCCAAATATACTGAATGCCTTTCTCAATTATTTGAGTGTAGTCAAAACAACACTATCTTATTTCATGAATATATTGTACTGCCACAAAGTTAGGATAAAACACTCATATTCACTGACTTTTTTTGTCTTCCCAACTGAAGGGCTATTATAGGAGCAATGAATTTATTATAACTCAGCATCCTCTGCCACATACTACGAAAGATTTCTGGCGAATGATTTGGGATCATAACGCACAGATCATTGTCATGCTGCCAGACAACCAGAGCTTGGTAAGCAAAGCACATCTGCTATATATTAACGAGCCCATGAGGCTACAAGCATAAATTACTTTGATACTTCGCCATAGAGCTAGTATCCATATATGCTAGGGAGGGAATTTAAAATTCTTATCTTGAAGTCTATAGAGATTCCTTCCATAGTCTCATAATACTGTCTCTATCAGTTCCATCACTTGATTCTCTGATGCTATTCATATCACCTTTCAATTCTACTGTCTGTGGCAGTGTGGTAGAAGGATCTGAAAAGGTCCTTTTAGTAACCTCATTAATACATGACTTTAAATCAACATCTTACCTGCTCTATGTCACTTTTGAAAAGTAATAAATGTAGCTTACAGGTATTGAGTATGTAACTATGTTTACATACATTAACTTGTTTAATCCTCAACAATTTTAAGACATAGGTGCTATTATTTTCTCACATGATAGCTAAGAAAACTGAGGGAACAAACTTGCTCAAGAACACACATAAGTATCTGGAGCCAGGATTTCAACCTGAGTCATATGTCGCCAGAGACTGTGCTTTTAATAATTGTACTGTATATCCTACCCCCAAAATTTGTATCAAAAGTACTGATGATGTATCTTTTCCTCTTATATAGGTAAGTCAGATCTCCTGCAGGGATAGGCTATCTCGCTCCAACTTAAAGGTCTTTAAGACTAAGCTGCTACTACTTTCCCCTCCCTTAGACCTCCTGTATTTCAGTCTCTATACAGAAGGGCGAGCAAGTTTATAAAACAGACTTAAATGTTTCTTCTTAGATCTCCTGGATACTTAAGTTTCAGAATTAGCTGAGTCTACAAAAGTAACTATGTGGACATGTGAGCCCGTAAGGTAAAAACAAAAACAGTGAGGATCTGCCTTTATGATAGTCAGATTAATGAGTTTTTTAATCAAGGAAGAACAGCATGTGACTGAACCCCCAGTCTTGGTGACATGCATTTGACTGTGTGCCCAGTCAGTAGGAACTTCTTCACTTTGTCGCATTTTGCTCCAGCTTCAGGATACCAAGACTGCTTCTGTATGATGGAATGGCAATAAAGTTGAGAATCTTAAACTAAAAGCTGGAGTGTAAATTTTCAAATTAGCTGGCAATAGGGTCTATTCGGTTTGGCATGTGGAAATTGGAGGCACTTAGGGTTGTTAAAACATTCATTTGTTGGATGAATCAGTATTTTGTTATTGTCACCTAACAAAGGGCAATCACCCTAAAGTGTCTACCCAGCAGCTCATTTGTATGTGGAGACTGCTGGACCAAATAAGTGGGTACGTGTTCTGCAGACACTAAGGATATATGAATATGCCATCTCAGTGTCTCTCTGAGGCCTTGGAAGGCTAGATTGGAATCATATACAACTGACCTCTCAGTTCTGAGATGGAAAGTTTCATCATTGCACAGTGTTTCCTAAACATTGATATCTCTGAGTTCTTTTTGTTTGTTGTATTATTACTGCTATACCTTTACGAGGTCATAATTCTCTAAGGAGCCCAAAAGTCACTGGTTTCTAACACAAAATACTGATGTAGATGCCCAGATGTCTTTGATCTATAAATATACTTGTAAGCGAAACAGTCATGAGACCAGTGTGCCTGCTAAATTAAGAGTAGTAGTTATTTTTCTTAGACTTTCAAGAGGAACCATTCTTCTACCTTTCTTCTACCATAATTCAAATCCCTTTAGCTCATTAATTTACTATTCATGTTATGATGATAGTATTTCTTTAAGGTAAGTAATTTTTATTCCCACTTTTCAGATATGGAAAATAAGGCTCAGGTTAATTTCCCTGGGATCACATTCACTCATGAATCCTATGCTACATCTGTGCATATTTGTTGCATTTAGATGCCCTGTTCATTACCTTCTGTGTTTGGTATCTGTGTCCTTGGACAAAACCTATTAAAACCCACGACAGTTACAGACTTCTTTTGTATAGACTAAACCCAATTGCTAATCTGTTTCCCCTTATGCTTAGCTTTAAAAATAAAAATGTACTTGGCAATAAGCTATATCGAAACTTGAAAGGGTGATAAGTCTTATTGGACTGTTGGCTCATTTCTAATGCAACAATGTAAGATTAAACAAAGCCTTCTTTGTTTTGAACATTATTCAGAATTATTCTGACTTCAATGATAGTAGCGAGGCATCTTCAGGAAAATGCCCATAGAAACCTATCTATTACAGGAGAACTACAGTTTGCCATTTAAGCCAATTAGAAAACAGGGGTATACAATCATAATCATATTTCACCTATGCAACAATTAACTTTCTGTTAGGCATCCATAGTTTTTAGGGATAGAATTCAAGTACCAAGCCTGCATATCTATTTTTAATCTTAAAATGGATGAACATTTAAAGCTTGCCTGATTGAAAGCTGAAAGACTTTCTGTGTTATCCCCTCTTGAAATATAACATTGACAGATTTACTTTTCTTTTAAAGACTGTCTTGTACATACATCCAACCTACTTATTCACACATAATCTTCCAAAAAAGTTCTATCCCTTACCATTTATTAGCTGTGTGATTTTAGATAATTTATGGACCCCCACTCCCCAAAACCTTTATATCCTCATCTGTAAAGACAGATGATAATCTCCTCAGGGTTATATACAAAATTTGTACAGAACTCATACAACTCAATAGCAGAATCATGAAATACCTGATTTAAAAATGG